AATGTCCCTTAAGCATCGTTATCATTCAGTGGGGACAAAGCTCCTATAAGATGAAAACTAATGTTTATTTAATTATTTCATCTTATTTAACAGTTTTTTTCATCCAGACGAGTCGACTGAGAACACATTCTCATTTACAACGACGATCTGGCCAAGAGGCAGCAGCAACAGACACATGATTAGCTTTACACAAAAGAAAAAACAGGTAAGATGAAAAAATACAGTTAGACATAAAAGCAAAGCATCTCTAAAAGCTGGAATCTGATTACGATGCAACATTTATAATAATAATGAGCCTCTTCAGGTCATCGCTTTGATAGAAACAAAATGACAGATGACTTTTAAGTCAAACTTTAAAGACTAAGTTCACTGAGAAAGCATTGTTTACTTGTTATTTTTTAAAGAGATGCGTATGTGTATCCACACGCGTTCCTCATCCCCAAATGATTTCACCTAATAAATAAATATTTCAGTAGAAAAACAGCTGAGTCACAAACGGGAATCTGACGTTGTAGAATGGATTGTGTTTTTATCACAATTGTTACTCTTCCCATTTTAATGAAGTTTTTGATTGTTTTTAATTAATTAATTAATATTATTTTTATTTAATTTTATTATATTAATGTCCTTGTGAAGCACCTCGTGATTTTAGGATGCTAGATAAAAGATCATTTCTTCTTCTTCTTCTTCTTCTTCTAAATGACTGAGAGCGAACACGAGCACTTGGGTACACACAGGTGGGAGTTATCATCGGAGGAACATGCGTACACGAGACCATTGCGTGCTTCATAAATCAGGATTTTGACCGTTCATAAAGAACATTGTAAATTTTGTTGATAGGAAGGAATACAGGAATATTTCTATGAATGTTTGATAATAATAATAATAATAATGCATTGAACTTATATAGCGCTTTTCTAGACACCCAAAGACGCTTTCACACACTCTCACATTCACACACTGCTAGTGATGGTAAGCTACTTGTAGCCACAGCCGTCCTGGGGAGGTCTGACAGAGGCGAGGCTGCCATTTGGCGCCGTCGGCCCCTCTGACCACCACTAACACAGGCACGTTGGGTGAAGTGTCTTGCCCAAGGACACAACAGCAGGACACCCCTGGCGGGAGCTGGAATCGAACCCATGGCCCTCCGATCAGGAGGCAACCCGCTCTACCACCTGAGCTACTGCTGCCCCAAGATGAATGAGGGCCCAGCAACGACGGCGGCCATCTTTAATCAGATTGACCCTAACCCCAACTTCACTCTGAGACATCAGTGGTGGAATGGTTAAATTGCGTGCGGGGTTTCACATGTGGAGCGGCTTCTTCTCCATCCTCCTCACCAGACTCGCAAGATCACAAAATCCCTCGAGACTTCAACGGTCACGGTTTGTTTATGCCATCCGCCATTAAACCAGAAAGAGGAAGGAAATCATGTTTGATGTCATGTATGATGTTGTTCCTCTCCACTGCCAGGATTACAGCCTCCAGTGAGAAGTCAGTGTAGAAGTACCACACAGAGGCAAAAACACACTGAATATGCACATTATTGCCCACCGACAGGTTGGAAAGTGGAACTTAAAAAAACATCTGACTTCTACATGCATTTGTTCTAAGCTCCAACCTTTTCTGCAAGCCAATTACCAACCCTCCCCCACTGCAGCTCCAATGCTCCGTACTAGTCTGACTTAATCAGTGTTGCCTCTGATGTCATTGATAACTGCTGTTTTCTGCTCTCTAGGGGGTCTTTGATGCTCCTCTCCCCCATCTCAGGCATTCCGGAGCAGACTGTTTACATCACACAGTCATGCTGCCAACTGGCTGTTTTTTATTATTATTTCAGATCAGTTGTTGTATCTTAATTATCAGTTAAGCATTGCTTCCAACTGGGACTCCAGTAAGAGACGTTTAATGGGAGCGTAGCTGAGCAGCGTGTTTAAAGATTCCACCTTTGTTGTTTATTTTTTTTACACACATGCTGTTTGCCACCTCTGGTGCTTAAATCGAACAGAATGAGACTTTTAGTTTGTTAGTTACTCTTCAGTGCAGTCCCTCTGCTACAGCTACTCATGTCTTTCCTCTTAAAATCTGCCTTTCTGTTTATTAATGGCATCAGATTACTGGTCTGATCACACATAATCCATAGCCTGCAGCAGCCTGCCACAGTATGGCCGTATCTTAGTGCCATTAACCTTGGCGTGTACATATCTGGGATTATTTTAATCAATTCTGTCAATCTGAGAAAACTAAAGTATGATCATTGTCTGTGATGGGAGAAGGACGTTCATGTGTTTTATGCAGAGTGGCAGGGAGAGGATAATTCCTCTTAACACAGTGAAGTGACGGCTATGGTCAAGGTTCCACATGGTGGCAAAAACGTGGGTTTTTGAATGATGACCTAAAGTACTACATGTTCATTTGAGAGACCCATCATTAGTAAACGCTTAGTTCATGGTTATGTAACATTAGATCATTATTAACCAACCATTAGTCCAGGACAATCTAGTCATTTGTTATTTTAAAGACCAAGTTCAGTCGTTTTTTTTTAATACATCTACAGTGATCTCTAGTATGAATTAATGCCTTGTAAATTGTTCTGCACTCCTGTTTCAGGAACTGGGAGTGAGCCAAAGCAGAAGACGGCAGAATTTGGGGTGTTAATTCCTGATCTTCCGTACACTCATCTCTGATTGGATTGTAGCAACGCAACTCTACCACGTTTCAGCATTGATGTTTAATCTCCACAAATACCACAAGAAGTTGCTAATGCTAATGGTTAGCTTTTACTAGCTGAGACCATAGACTGTACATACTGGACAAACGGATTCCATAGGCTCCAATAACACGTTTTTTGTCCATAATGGGAGGTGGCCACCACCGCCATTTTGACCGTGTCACAGGTTCCGTCCAGCCCAGACAATTCCATAAAAGGGAAGAGAGGAGGCGCTGAGGGTGGGGCTGTAAGGCTGGGATCGAGTGATGAACTAGCTACGAGCTAACCTGAAGCTAACCCTGGCTAACCTAAAGCTAAAGCGGAGGTGGGAGCCGGCTAACGGATGTAGCCACCTAGCTTCAATTCAACCGGAGCTAACTGGAACACCCAACGACCTGACCCTCACACGGAGTTTAGGTGGAGGTTTTCTGCGCCTGTTCGTGAGAAGTACCTGTATTAAAAAAGTTTTAAATCGGTAAGTTTATAATTTATTTCCGTAATGAAAACATTTTGCTTTGAGCAAGTTTTCAGTACAGTTTTTTTCGGCGCTATCACTCCTGAGTCGCACCAGCCATTAAATGTATCATGAAGAAGAGAAAATATATTTAAGTCGTATTTTGGGGGGACATTTTATTATCTTTCTTACAAAATCTGAGACCAAGCGTTTCACATTGCAACACAAGCACCGGTAACCATAACAGAATGAACAGCCAGCAGAGGAGAGGATGGCGGTGTTTCAAACCCTCCCGGCCGGCGTGGAGAGCTCATTCCTGGGCTGGAGCCGGCCCTCAGCACCCCGCCACAGGCTCTAACAGATGCTGGCGGTGTTTCATATATTTCCAAAACATAATACCTGTTTGTATCTTGTACAGCCAACTAGCCTTTATTCTGGACTCAGTACAATTTACCAAAAGTAAAGAGACATTATACAGATGAAGTAAGCACAAGATAACTTACTGGAAGACACTGAATTATCATCAGAACCAGAACAAGAGAGCCTGATAACAGTCATGTGAAAATAACAGTTAAAAAGTATGTATGTATAATAGAAATAAAAATACATTAGAATTAATGTAACTCACTGTGATCCAAACAAATCAGCCATAGCTGATTAGTAAATATGACATGAGGTCTGGGAGTTTTTAAGTTTCATTCTTTTATTACATTTTTTTCTTAGATCTGTTAAAAGGTCACCATGGCAGCCTGTGTGTCTCCAACGTCAGCTACACAAAGCAGCAAGTGTAAGTACCAAGTACTTGTCTTGACCACTTCATGAATGGTTTTGTACTTTAAACAGCTAGGCCAAACCTGTTATTTTTTCCTCCATAGCCATTTGGATCATTGGAGACAGCTACGTGAGGCTTGGTGCCCAGAGAGCTGCAGAGACCGTCGGACACAACCTTGGCCTCCCTGACGTCTGTGTCTCCTGGTTTGGTTTGGGGCGGACCATCGACATACATAGATGTGCCGACACTTTGCGCCCTGTTTTATAAAATGTAGTGTTAAAAATAAATGTTTTTGCTCAATTACTGGAATTTCTTTGGTTAAGACAAAAGTGAGGAATAATCATTTACAAGTTATTTGTACAACAGGCCCATTTTAAATCCCAACAGTTTCTTAGCAGACAATAGAAATGTGTTCTTTACTAACTTTACTTGGTTTGAAAATCGTACTAAAATAAACTTGAGTGCCGTATTGCAAAACCCAATCATACTTGTTATGTAAACATTAGTTCTGTAGATATTTTTTACAGATATATATTTGTGTGCAACAAAAACCAAACTTAAATAATTTGTCATTCTTTATTGAAAAACAACAAAATACAGGTATACAGAAGTGTGGGAAAATGATAATTTTAAAGTATTGCACTATAAATGAAGTGAGATGAGATGAAGGTGAGATGAAGGTGGACGCCAGCGGGCTGGACGCCGGACGAGGAAACCTGGAGACGGATCGCTCAGACAGGAAGGGAAGAGCTTCCTCTTACCTTGATGGAATTAAAGTTAGTCGTCGTCTTAACGCCCAACCGTACGGTCTGAGGTCAAAGGTCACAGGAAACACACACCAGTCAGCAGTCATACAGATGCATAAAGATAACTGTAGCCATGGCAACCAGCATACATGTCCCCACTTTCACCAGCACCTGGTGCCTGCCGGGTCACCTGAATTCCTGTGTGATGTCAGCACGGTCGGCCGTGACTGCGGCCATCAGAGGTGACATCTGATCAGCTGAATGAACTCACCTTCCAGGGTGACGCCGTGTTAGAGTCGGCTTCATCCTGTAAACAAACAAACAAATGAGTGGTAACAAAAACACCACGTCTGGTTCTGGTGGAGGCGGAGGACAACATGCACCTTTCCAGGAGCAGAACCCAGATGTTCTTGTTGCTACAAACAGAGACGAGCAGAGTTAAACCAGGAAGTGAGAGGGACCAGCTGCTGCAGACAGGTGACGCTCACCTGAGCCTGAACCATAGGAGCCTCCTCAGCCATCAGACCTTCTGACTCCAGTTCAGATGCCACCTTGTTGATGTCCCTCAGGCGGGACTCGTTGGCCTTCAGGTCCTGCAGGACAAAAGCACCTGCTGATTACCTTGTTGCTGTCGGGTTAACAGGTCTGGTGTTAGAACGTGGTGGATAAGAATGTTCTGACGGGCCGAGGGTTCTGAACTCACCCTGCAGGACTGGGCCTGCTCCTTCAGGGCCTGGATGCTGCTGCCGTAAGCCGACAGGTCCGACATCAGGGCCTCGTGCTTCTTCAAGAGAGCCTGTGGAGCAGAACATCAGAACCTTCAGCTCATCTGACACAAGTGGAGCTTTCTCGCAGCGATGGTCCAATCGGATCCGCCACCGCCACCGTAAAACAAACCCTGCTCAGTTCACCGCAGACACAGCTCTGCGGGTGTTTAGTGGAAAAGCGTGAGCCTTCTGCCAGCTGCCACGTGTCATGGCTACTCTGCAGCAGGAACACACATCACAGCTTGTAAACCGTTTGAAATAAGAGTGACGGGAACACGTTTGTCATCACTTCCTGTGCGAGGCCAGCACTTCTACCCCTAACCCATGAGACGCTCAAACGAGCAACGACGTCTGGTAGACAACCGAAGGAAATGACAAATACAGAAACACTAATTATGAAGGACTGGAAAGAGAGCAAAGAAAAGCGATTAGAGTTTCTCAGGAAGGGACTTCCATACCTCGGCCAAGTCCTCGTCTTTCCCTTAGTCTGGACTTCCAACGATGGGCTCCTTCTCCCTCATCCAGGACTCGGCCTCATTAGCATCCGCAAAGTACTGCTGGGCCTGCAGAGAGTCCTCCAGGTCCTGCCTCCTCTGGGACGCCTTGGCCTTCAGCGTCTCCCAACGTCCATGAAGCTCCCACAGTTTAGTCTTCACTTCCTCACCAGCGAAGTGACCTGGACCCAAAAAAAGTGAGCCAGAACCTGCAGACACCTCAGAAACATGTCAGGACCAGACCTGCTCTACCTTCCTCCACCATGGTGTCTCCTTTCTGGGTGACAGCCTTTATGCGAGGTTCATGACCTGTGATCTCAGCCTGCAGAGCCTGGTGCTTCTTCAGCAGGTTCTGGACACCAATCAGGTCCTTCCCTGAGGACACATGTTAGAGTTCAGCATTATGCAGTAGACAGACCAGTTTAACCCAGGGGTTTCTTTCTTCTACAATCTGCTCTTTAACTGTATTATTTCCTGCTATTTCAGCTGTTAACTTTATTTTTTCTCTAAGTGTTTTTCTCCCCAGAAGAAGCTACAATGGTGTTCTGCTGAGCTGTGGTGGCCTCATGGAGGGGGCCATCATCTAGCACACTGCTGCTAACCACTTAAACATTCTCCCTCTCCTGATAATAACATTTTACTTTCTTTGATGTTGAATGTGCTACTGCTAGTTTACCCGTTTAATTACAGATTCACTAGGATAAATACAATAAAGTTTATCTCTCGCCAAATAGAATATTTACTAAGAAATCACAATGTAATGTGTGTGTGTGTGTGTGTGTGTGTGTGTGTGTGTGTGTGTGTGTGTGTGTGTGTGTGTGTGTGTGTGTGTGTGTGTGTGTGTGTGTGTGTGTGTGTGTGTGTGTGTGTGTGTGTGTGTGTGTGTGTGTGTGTGTAAAAGCCATGTGTAGTGTTTATTTATAAAGCATATGTTGTTGGATTTCATCCAGAATCGAGACTTTGAAAATATATAGTTTAATTACAGTTTGATTTATTTGACATCTGTATAATGTTTATTATTTTGTTTTTCCCCCTAAATACCTAACGTTTTAGTTAACATGAATATTAGTCATTCATCCCAAAACATAAAGTTACACATTTTAAATTTTAATAGGGGAAGACTGCAGGAGGGAGCGGTAAAATACAGAAATTCCCAGCAAAAACAAACTTTACGAGTCTGATGAAACTTGCTGGTGTTCCCGCTGCTTCTTCGGTAAACAGCGCCAACAAAAACAAAGAAACTTGGGATCTTGTCGGCGTGGCGGTGGGATTTAAGGGAAACGCTGTATGCCCTATAGACTTCTCAACGAGCTGCAGTATTTCTCCGGTCAGATCTGTCTCCGAGGTCGAGAGATCCACGAGCGGTCAGCCCGCAGCAGCGAGGCTCCGCATTGGTCAGCCTGCCCGGCCTGACCGCTGGGGATTACCGGATGAAAGAATGGAGCACAGGTGTCCCTCCAAGCGGCGCGCTCCGTCATATTTCAACCCATTTTTATCTTAAATGCACTGGGTTTGACCCTTTTACCCATCAAAATATGCCCTATTAATTATTTTACCGTATTTTACATTTAAATTTCATGGTTAAACAGTACATGCTACATGTTAAACTGATAGTTAGCTAGCTACTTCGGTAAACTCAGCTAGGCGGCAGTGACATAAAATACAAATATAGATTTTAACTTACCGAAAAAAATGAAGTGGAGACTCCTTGGACGTTCTATTAGTGCAATTAATACCACAGCAAGTCATTTTGTCCAACAATTGCACCAATAATATCCAAAACAGAATTCACAAGCACAGAGACTCAAAATCCCCACACAGTTTCCAGGAGAGACCGAGGCTGTACTGAGGCCTTTCCACGGAACTAGCTATGTGGTCACGTGGGTCTGAGGCGGCGGTCACGTGTGTCGGATGCTCATTAATTATACAGAATTTTAGGCTTTCAATACACTTAAACAGAAGAGTGAGAAGAAAATTCACCCCCCTCAGAGTTGTCATGAGTATAAACTAGATAATTTAGACAAAAAACAATTTTTGGAACCGGGCTGTAAACATGTTTATTTCTGCTGTGAAAATGGCATTTTTAACATGGGAGTCAATGAGGATTTGCTCGCTTCTGAGACCAGCCCCCAGCGGATGAGGGTGGAAATGCAATTTTTCTTACTTCCGGGTTGGGACCATTTTTAGAGAGGCATTGTGGGGGCTTGGCTGAGACGCACTCTTCTCTCAACCGACCCCGCCGCGAACCAACATGGCCGAGTTCATGACTGCTAATTTGACAATGTGAGGTGGAATTTACTGACTTTTCTAATCCGAGCATTTCCCCGTCTGTTGTTATGGCTTCAGGCATTTAGACACAGCCGCTTAAATTTTGGTGTCACCAGCTTTTGGTTTACGGCTGCGGACCTTCGTGGTCACAAACCAGAGATGCACAAACTCACAATGCTGGAGGGAAAGAGCTACAACAGCGGGTCAGTTGTCCTCCTAAGACCCTCCTCTCTGTTTGCGTCGCTAAGCCCTGCCGTGCTCTGACGTTCATGCTCCGTTGCTCTAGTCTGACCGCTCAGCTTGCCTTGGAGAGTCTGGCTCCTGCAACCTAAGATGGTAAATCCTCTTGTGGATGATGGCTATTGATTAGATATTCACATCGTGCCTCCTGCCCAGGAGAGAACAACTGTGAATCTCGGCTATCTCGCACTCATCATCCTCTTCTCCTTATTCACAGCTGCTCCTTTGCCGGCGGGGCCTCACACAAATATGACAGTGTACAATATTTTATGCAGAGAGCAGGAACAGCTTCTCACTTTATCCCAGGAAAACAAACATCTCAGCTTCACATCTGTTTGTCTGACAGCAGGAAATCTCCTCTACGCTTTCTCTTTCTCTCTCTCTGGCATTGGCAACATTTGCATGTACAGAAAACTAATGACCTCATTCTAAACAAGGTGACACTAAGATAATTTGAGATGAAGTCCATTCATAATGCATGGGGAAACTTTCTTTTGCATATTTTATTTCCTTTGTACCCCTGAAATGTTCGTGCTCATCAAAAAACGTCCTTACATTCAACCTTTTCTACATTCAGTCTGACGATAGTCGAATATAAAAGAAAAACAAGTTACTCTCTTTGAAGTTGAGCCCAAATCAAGCAACTGGGTTCCTGACGAGGAGTCTAAGTGTATCTTATAATTAAACGTCTAGCATTCCTTGGAGGGATTCACATCTCTCACCGCCTTTCATGTCGATTTGGTCAAATCTTCAAAACTCACAATTTTTTTCTACTTGCTGTTGTGCAATTATGCACAGCAATTATTTTTTTAATATAATATTTTAGCTTAATAACTCTAAAATTGTCAGATATAAAGCCTTGGGGATGATTTTCTGCTACTTCTACTACCATCAAAATTCAACTGGATTTTTGCAGCCATCTTGAATTGAGATTACTCCAGAAATTGATCAGATATAAATGTGAAACAAGTTTAGTTAAAGCAACACTAAGTCGTTTTTAAACTTTAAGCTAGAGCGTTAACACTGATCTTGGTGATTATTAGGTTAGAAACTTGACCAGTTTCATTTTTGACACCACTCTGCAGCCCTCTGCTGACCAAAAACTGCATTTAACAGTTTTGTGGAACTGGTAGGTGCCCTATAGGGGGAGCTCTTTACCTGCTTTGCGGCTGTTAGCTGTCATGCTAGCAATTAGCACTTGCAGTTTCCCGATCGTCAATAAAAAAGCACAAGATGAAGAAACAGAAGAAGCTTGCTTTTGTTGGCATCATGAAGGAACCTGGAAGTAAAGTAATGTTACATGTCATGGCCCTTTTCGGCCACAAGATGGCCTCAGTGGCCTTTGCCTCGCCTGTCTCCCGGTGCCCCAGCTGTGTGGCATCAGTAATCAGGGAGAAGCTGTTAAAAGCTGCTCTCCTGCCCTCAGTCAAGGGGGAGGTACAAGGCTAGTGTAGACTGGTAACAGTTTACACTATTCTCTTCTCCCCGGTTCGCTTTTGGTAAAACACAGTTCGCTCACTAGTCTTCGGTTTACTCTCACTTGGATTTCGGATTTGGATTTCGGATTTGACCATTTTGGCTTATAAACTTCGGACCGGCTTTAGACTCTGACCTCGGATCTCCCCTTTTGAATATCTATCTTTAATATTCTCGGTTGTTTTCTCCCCGCCCCCTTCCGGGGTGGCGCTTTTCGTTCTCCCTTTTGTAAATAAGCTCCTTTTGTTTTTTGTATATAGAGATTCCTTTTTATTGTTGTAAATATTCGTTTTGTAATAAAGATTCTTGTTTTTTAAGCGACACAGCACTTTGTTTATTATTAAAACCACACACTACTTTTATTACTCCCCTCCTCATCTCTCCTAGAGAGCCGGGGACGTAATAGTAAGAATAATGTCTTTAGAGGTGAAGCAATGTTGGAGGGAGCTAAAGGAGGCTACAAAATTACAGACTGATGGTGACCTGGCTTTGTTGTTACTGGACTTGTAAGTGATGATAAAATTTGTTTTATTTTGTGGTTTTATTTTTATATTAGTTGGCTCATGTTAGTGTTAGCTCATTGTCAGCGCTAGCTACACCAGTGTTGTTTACGACGGTTTTAATGCTGCTTTCAACCAGTAGGGAGGAGGAGCAGGAAACTGTTCAGTTTTATTTCATCCAGTGGTTCGTGAGATATGCTAACAGCTGTTGGTCTAGCTCATAAAGGCAACACTCTTTTTCTCAACCAGTTAGTTCTTAGAGTTTATTGAAGATCCTTCTCAGCTACGCTCACAAAGTTTTAGCTCAGTATCAGAAAAATCGACTGAGTTTAACTTTTTAATGTGTTTTCAAAGTTAATTAACTGTGGCGACCATCTTGAATTGGCTTGGCCCCAAAGGATAATGAGTTGTAGATGCACATGTAATGATTTTCATAGCCTTTTGTTAAAAGAGAGAGAGAGAGAGAGAGAGAGAGAGAGAGAGAGAGAGAGAGAAGAGAGAGAGAGAGAGAGAGAGAGAGAGAGAGAGAGAGAGAGAGAGATCTTCACTAATGTCAGAGAAACAACCGCACACACACAGACTAAAGCATTATCGCCACCCTTTGCCTTTTGGCTATGTGTCACATGACGCCATAAGGCAGATTTATTGAGTATTTGTCTACACGCTGTGATGCAACAGAGATCATCACATTAATTGTAGCCTCATTCAATTTTTGCCTATGGTCTTATTTGATCAGAGAATGCACATTCCACTGTTGTGGCCAATTCACATTAAGACCTTAATCAGGCTAATTTCGGAACATTGTTGTGCACATAAACACAGTCACAGCTTCCTTTCACTTCCTTCCCACTTCTCTTGTCATTTCCACTTTGTCAGCATCTCATTTAATCCTCTTCATCTACTTTAACCTGTCACTTTTTCACCTTCTCACAGGGACATGGTGTGCAATGTGGACGGAGTGGCCCCTCCCCGCCGGGGATTCGCCAAGCATGCTGCGTGTCACTGTGGATTATGTTAATATACGCAGATGAATCTTTGCATATGAATTAAGTGTTCCCTTTTGGGGGAGGAGGTCTAAACTTAGCTGACCAGGCATCCAGCTTGAGCAGCTCATTTACACCCTATAATTAAAACAAACATGGGAAACTCAGAGTTGGGATGGAAGGTAAGGAAACAAGCTGGATCGATTGGTACATTTTAAAAACATCACAATAATTTAAGCTTTTTGCTTTTTCTGGACAGAAACATCTAGAAAACTCTGAGGCTGCATCAAAAAGCAACTTAACTATTTATAGTTCAAATGTGAGTAAAACACACACAAGCTTAACTAACGATCAAAACGGGTTTACATCACTTTTATTTGCTCAGTACATCTCTGTGCTGCGTTTTACTGTGTGTATTTACAACACCTCCGTGCTGTGTCATAATTCAACAAGCAGCTTTTAGCTAAAAATATGAGTCTAATCTAATTCCAGGTGAAACTGTATATATATAAATGTTTTACAGCATCTCAGCAAGTTTTGCAGCGCCATGAGAGAACCGGAATGCTTGGAAGTGAATAAAGCTAACCACCTCATGTGTGGAGGTGAGGGAGTTAGCCTCTGCGTGTGTGTGTGTGTGTGTGTGTGTGTGTGTGTGTGTGTGTGTGTGTGTGTGTGTGTGTGTGTGTGTGTGTGTGTGTGTGTGTGTGTGTGTGTGCGTGTGTGTGTGTGTGTGTGTGTGCGTGCGTGCGTGTGTGCCACTGATATGGGACTCTGTTTAGAATTTGCATATACGAGGGAGAGAGAGAGAACTCTCCTCGTGTGTGTGTGTGTGTGTGTGTGTGTGTGTGTGTGTGTGTGTGTGTGTGTGTGTGTGTGTGTGTGTGTGTGTGTGTGTGTGTGAATGCATGCTCTCCGCGGGTGTGTGTGTGTGTGCGTGCGTGTGTGTGTGTGTGTGTGTGTGTGCATGTGTGTGTGTGTGTGTGTGTGTGTGTGTGTGTGTGTGTGTGTGTGTGTGTGTGTGTGTGTGTGTGTGTGTGTGTGTGTGTGTGTGTGCTCTCCTCATGTGTGTGTACATGATTCCGTAGACTCCCTGCCCCTGAGTTGGAGGGCTGCCCGGCAGCTTCTGCTAACCCTCTCCTATGTGATTTAGGAAGTTATCGATTTCAAAGTCTTTGTTTTTTTTGTCCACTTTCTCATAAATAGCAGATGAAACCCCTTATCATTGTTTGTTTAGTTCTCCTCCTGCGGGCTATTTACTCTGACATTTCCACCATCATCCTTGTTACATGGTGCATAAAAATCATTTCCTTTCTCAGCATCTCTGCAGAGCATTAGAGACAAAAACTAACACTGAAGATGATGATGATAAAGAGTCTGCTGCCAATAAAATATTCTGGTCGAGAAGCTTTAGATGATCTCATTATTACTATCATTGTATAGTTAGTGTTGTGCATGCCTGTGGTGCTTGCTCGGGCCTCATAAGACACCGTTGTGATCCAACATTGCTGTCTGCAAGATGAATTTTGTGAGCAACGAAGATGTCTACTAATATTGAGGGATTAAAATAAAATATCAAATACATCTAAATGGTACAGTTTAAATGCAAGTCTCAGTGCCCCCATGCAGACACAAGTGCGATGGAGAATAAAGAAAATAGGATATTCAGTAGTTTGCATGAGTTTTACACACGTGGTTGTCTAAAACATTTGTGAATAATCTGAACAGGCAGCTTTTCCTGAGATTTACGGGTCACCAGGAAAATGTTTTTCCTTCTCTGTAAAAATGTCCAGCAAGATGCCAACATCCAGCGTTTACTTGCAGAACCTTTGTGAGTGCCAACCTACCATCTGCCCACTGTGTATTCTTCTGCCATTTGCCCAGTCCGTTATCCCT